CGGAAAGACCTTCTTCTTGAAAGGTATGGGCAAGTACTTTTTTATCTTCTGCTAAAGATTTGACAAAGGTTGACATATTGTCTCAAAAGAAATGCTGATATGCACCCATGGCTCCCTTGTAGTTAGCGACACGCATGGTGAATGCAGCTGATGGATAAAGCCATCTTCCCATTGAGTAATCCTTCTACTGTCTTTATTTGGTGGTATGAGGGTTTGTCCATGTTGCGATGTGGACTGTGAGGCTTTGACAAAAATAGAGTTTAGAGCTGGTTGTTTTTGTAGAAATAGAGCTCAAAGATCATGGACTCTGTAGAGGTTATCGATTTGTTTAGACATGGTATGGAAAAAGGCTGGTTTTGTCCAGAATTGTTGAGTGGTGCTGAGTAGAGACAGAAGCATTGAGATGTGTACTGGAGTAGTTGTATCTTTAGAGATTGGGTCGCATAGATAATCGTCTGGTTCTGTCGAAGGACAGTAGATTTGGAGATTGAGAGACATAGCCATCATAAGTTGGGCGTAAATTTGGAAGTCTTCTGCCTGTGATGGTGGGTCAGCATTGACAAGGTCGTATTCCGGTGAGGTAAATAATACTGACGGTGTCTGATGTCTGGATCCATGATCAGAATAATCAGGCTCATGTTGGGAATTGATGGACTGTCGATCAACTTTGGTGTCGATAGGCTGAGTGTCATAGTATTGACATTTGTGGCTTGATGTCGATGAAGCCGCCATGTCCATGGGCATTTGTCGGTGTTGAGGATTTTTGATACTGAGAGACATCATCCAAGTGTCCATGGACGTTGTTTGCCATGGTTGCACGTCAGTGTCGAACTCGGGTCATAGTGATGTCGACTTTGATGGCTTGCTTCTATCGGGTGACAGAAATTGTGCATTGACAGAGGGACAGAACAAGTGTCCATGGATCAGAATGGATATCGAGGATCATCAATATCAGAGCCTGTGTCTCAGTGATGTTGAAACGGAGGTTGTTGATAAGCTGGTAAAGAAGTGGAGTATATAGACGCTGGAGATGCCGAGTGAGAGGAATGATTTCTCTTGTCTGGATTAGGATCAGGAGGCTGGAGCTGTAAAAGCCTTGCATGTAAAAGAAAATTGCTTGACACAACATACAGAAACCTTTATTGGCATTACAGGGTACAGGGAGTACACAGGATAGTTACATTCCAATACCGGGTGGGGGGAAGGGGTGAGGTTGGAATTGTAGTAGGCTAGGTTCAAAGAGATTTATAGAGGGTTTAGGGTAGGGGGAGGGGGGAGGGGAGGTCTTCATAACAGTTAGGAGAAAGTCAGCAACTTGACTGGTGATAAAAGGCGAGAAATCGCTCAGGAGTATGGGGGGAAGGTCGAGGAAGAAAGGGGAGAGGGAAGAGAGGTCGGTGTCAAACCTGGGGTCATAGTGATGTCGAGTTTGATGGCTTGATTCTATTGGACCATGGAAATTGTGCACTGATAGAAGGACAGAACGAGCATCCATGGACCAGGATGGATATCGAGGATCGTCGATATCAGAGCCTGTATCTCGGTGATGTTGAAACAGAGGATGTTGACAAGCTGGTAAAGCAGTGGAGTATATAGACGCTGGAGATGCCAAGCGAGAGGAATGATTTCCCTCATCTGGCTTAGTGGGAAAATATCAGGAGGCTGTAAAGCCTCATGTGTAGAAGAAAACTGCTCGACCATCCTGGGTCTTTTAGGTGCCAAGTAGGGAGCAGGTTGGAGTCCATGTGGGTCATGGTGATATGGCCATTTTGACACCTACGGCTGTTGAGATCGAGGCCTGCCATGAGAAGGTATGGCCGAGCTGGATAGAGCAACTGGCTAATTGGTGGTTGTGATTTGTCCAGTCGAGCACTGGACGGGGCAAATGTTTAACTCGATGAGACTGCTGAACGCGGATCTGAGCCACACGTGATGAAATAGATGGCTCCAGGGACTGTTGGGGCCAATGTCTCTCAGGCGGTCGTGGTGGACAATCAAATGTTACCAAATAAGGTATAGTCTCTAATGGTTGACCCTGTCAGGTGAAGCAACTATGGAAGGGTTGCTCGAAAGATCAGAGTGTTGAGGACTGGGAGGAGAAGATGTTAATTGACTGACTCTGTCATCCCATTCCAGTGATTGGGAGCAGGGTTGATGAGAGGGGATTCCGTCATCGTCAGAAGGTGAACCAATAGAGATTGATTCAGCAGTTTGTTGAGGCTGTTGAAAGATGACTGCAGCTTTAGATTTATGTTGTTTAGGTCTTTTAGGCGGAGAAGGCTCCGGAACCAACGAGGCTTCAGTGGATTTGATGTTTAGTGGAGAACTTCGATATCGAGGATTTTGGTATTGAGTGCTTCAATTTATGGGCTTTTGAAGTTTTAGATGAAGTGGATGGAGCATCAGAATGGGATGGTGTGATTGATGGACGTTGTTTTGAGGCTTCAGAAAGAGCCTTCTCCATTGCTTTGTTTTGTAAGGTGGCCTTACGAGGAGGTTAGGTCAATTTGGTTGGTTGAAGGGATTGTTCCCAAAGATGGAGTTTTAATCTGGATAAGCGAGAAAGGAGGATTCCGCGCTTGAAGTTCTTACAATGCTGGCAGGAGGACGTCTGGTGTGCCTCTCCCAAGCAAAAAAGACACTTGGCGTGGCCGTTGGAGAGTGGTATTTTGTTATCACAGACGGTGCAATGTTTAAATAGGCCCCAAAGGGCCATAAATAAGAGAAAATAATTTGAGGAGAAAAAACGATAATTGGGGGGGGCGCTGCGGGCAGAGGCTGAGAGAAGCAGAAAGGAAAAAAATCTCTGATAATAATGAACTTGTATCTAAAAGTTTAAAAGAAAAAAGATTGATAACAGGAAGGAATCAAGAATAAACTCTCTTTCTCTTTTACTCACAGAAGCAGAACTATGAGGCTCTCAACGCGGTGGTTGAAAGAAACTGAAAGGGGACCCTTGGTCCCAAGGTACTTATACGAGAGGGGAGGGGCCTTATTCTAATGTGTTTTTTTTTTGCTACTGCAGAAGCTCAAGAACTTTCTGATGAGGCTCTGCGCAGGCGCAGATCACCCAGGGTATGATTCACAGAGGCCACAAAGAAGAATTTAGTTTTCATACTGAGGTGCCTATATTTTCCAAAATTTCATCAGGACTGTTTATTCGATGCTGATGATACCTTAATAACTGCACACAGAGGCTTTCAGACTCTATAAAATATTTAATTTTTTATGTAAACTTCATCATTTGGGGTAATTTCAGCTGTCGTTGAAAGTATCTGACAATACTTGAATCAACACACCTAACTCAATCTTGCAAAATCTTGCATTTTTTACCTGCATCATTTGACACTTGTGGAGGTTTAAGAATGTCATCTGGATGTGGCTTACACAGTCCGTGGAAGGGGCCCAGGTCAAAGCATTCATGAAGCAACTGTATATTCACTTCAGAACATACACTCATGAAGCCCACTGCTACACCATCATCCTGAAACATAAAAAATGCTATAAATTTCTTAAAGCAACAATAAACACAATCCCATCTAGCTCAATGTGTTCTATAGCATGCTGTACCATGAATCTGCCCTGTCAACATTTTGTGTTTTATCTCCTACTGATTGTTCTGTGAAATAATCCAAGATCTGTTATGATTGAAACAAACCTCCAACTTTTTTCAAGAGCAGCATCTATATGTTTATATGCATTTTAACAATTAATTATATCATTTACAATATATGGTGAGCCAGAGAACTGGAGGTTTAGGAGAAACAGTGAGTATCCAGAGTTAGTGCCCATACATCAAAAGGTTGCAGACAGATAACTCATGGCAGATAGGGTCAACAGAAGATGGCATGCCACATTTGAAGAACAAAATAGCATTGAGTTACAGTACTGCCTATAAAAAAATCAATACACCACCTGAACTGTTTATCTATCCCTCCATCTCATGTATTTATATATCATTGACCATATCTGGCCTGCCTTGCTGTTTTATCCGGCCCTTTCCTTTCAGCCAATGCGCATGAGGGGGGCAAGGATGTGTGTGTGCAGGCATCCATGCATGTGCATGGAAGGGTGCGTCCAGGTGGGCGGGCGTCCAGCCGAGCAGGATGTGTGTGCATGTGCATGTTTCTTTGGCCCTCAAAAATGTTGACAATATACAATGTGGCCCTCATGCTCAAAAGTTTGGAGACCCCTGACTTAGTGCAAAGCACTACTCTAAGCGGTTTACAGCAACACAATGTGACCCAACCACCCAACATTAAATGTGGGAGCTGATTCCATAAGCAGTTTACGTACCATTGGTTGAGAACTATTGCCATGTATAATATATCTGAAGTTTCTCTGTGAGCGTAATTACCACATTAAAAAAACCAGGAAGAGGAAAACAGATCACCACAGTCACCACAGTGGCTGAAATCCAGTAGTAAGTTGTAACTGGTGTCAGATGGTTGAATCAATGGAATTTATAGAGTTGACTCACCAACTCTCTACTGATTCAATCAACCTACTCTAGTTGCAGCTTATAAGGGACTGTCCTTGACACCGTGCAGAGGCATAACACAAGATTAAGGACCAAATGTACAATCTTCTGTATGTCTTCTACCAAGTAAATCTTAAGAATTAATTTGGTTTGAATACCAAATACCAAATCATGGCAAACAAACAAATGAAGAAAAACAGGTGAAATGATCCAAGCAGCTCCTCCCCACCCCACTGCTTCCCAGCCCCCTCCAGTTATGAGTTTTCCCTTTAAAACAAAGTACATTCTCTAGCTGCCCTACCCTCTTCCTTTCTTTTTCTGATAAGAACCCTGGGCAAATGTTAAATTAGTTAAAAAAAAAACAAGAACATAAATGGGAGGATCATGGTCCCAATATGTACAAACAGAGGCATCTTGGGTGTCACAGCTATCTGTGAAGATTGTGATGGCCAATGTGGATCTAACATATGGAGAAGATTTTGGTGAGAAATTTGAAATATAAACTTGTAATTGTTAATGTATATAAAGATCTTATAGAGAGAAATGAAAGGGGGGAAAAGAGGAGTGATGAGATCATCATACTTTCAAATAAAAGGTTAATCTGACTTTAAAAAAATGAGAACTGCTTGAGCAGAATTTTTGGTTTTAGAGAATCTGAAGGGCTCCTCACAGAAAAGATAGCATGAGAGAATGCAGACCATGTTTATTCAACTGAATGATGTAGTTCGAAAACAGGCAAAGGTCTAAGGAGCTTCTGCACTTCTTTACAGTAATTTGAGATCACTGAAATGTGGGCACCTTCCTTTGGTGAGTTTCATGTAAATTAATGGCAGAAGACATTCTACGGCATTTTTTAATGCATGTGATACAAGTAGAACTTTCCTTCAACGTACAGTTGCACCTTCAGTTCAGTGAACTGGGTTGTTGTAAAAAAGACTTCCTAGCAGAGCTTAACATTGAGACACTCCAGATGATGCAGTTGGTCAGTTTGTCTTTTAATATTTAACTTATTGTGTTTTTGTGTGAATTTTAATGTTGTGAGCCGCTTTGGGTCCCTTTGTTGGGATAATAATAATAATAATAATAATAATAATAATAATAATAATAATAATAATAATAATAATAATAATAATAATAATAATAATAATAATAATAATAATAATAATAATAATAATAATAATAATAATAATAATAATAATAATAATAATAATAATAATAATAATAATAATAATAATAATAATAATAATAATAATAATAATAATAATAATAATAGAAATTGGGGGTTGTATGTTTGTTTTGCAGATATCAAGGCCAAAAAAATCCCTATAGCCAACCTTTCTTCAATTATTCTTCTGTTACAAAACTCTTGAACACTGCATAGCATTATGTAGCTTGTAACACACAGTCTATGTTGACCACTGGCCAATCCACTGTTTAATATAACTTAATGTAACTTATACACAAGCCTGCACACTGCAGGGGAGGTTTGGCCTCCCTAACAGACTTCCAAAGTTACTCAGAATAAGCATGAAATAAGTTGTTTCAAAACATCTTTGACACAGGAGCATAGTCAAAGACTGTACTAAGTCAAACTGTGTAGCTCTTTTTGCTTACACTGACAGGGAGTGGCTCCCTGGGGTTTCCAGCAAGAATCTTTCCAATCCTAACTAAAAATACCATATGTAAAAACTGGGATCTCATGTGTGAAGCATATGTTCTGCTTCTGGGCTGTGGTCTCCCCAATACTACATATTCAACCCTGGGTGAATAATTCTTATTCATACAAATACTGTTTTTACTCTGGTTTTATTCTGATGGAAAATAAAAAAAGGCTTTTCCATCTGTGAATATCTTTTCATTTCACACAGAGAAGACAAATGCCAACTCAGGAAGTAAAGATGATTCCCCTTTCCTTTAACATCAACAGACTGTGAATTGATTTTGCCACCTGGAAGCATCCTGAAATAGGCAGATTCAGTAAGCAAAAATAAAGTAGACTCTGTATAAGACTGCCTGCCTGTGACCCATGAAATTTCATAGCCAATAATTTGCAGCTGAGCACTGGTCTACATGATGTTGATAACACTAGAGTTGATTTAACTACAGTTTTCAGTTGAATAATGTAATTACAACCAATCTTGTAATTACCTCCCCTTCACCTGTGGATTACTGTATTTTTCTGTGTATGAGACACCCCTATGCATAAGACACCCCCCCACTTTTCTAACCCAAAATTTAAAAATCTAAGTGGGGCTTAGCAAATGTAGGGTTAAAAGGATCAAAGTGTTACAGGATGGCTTTGATCCCGGCTTTCTCCCTTTGTGCTAAGCCCCGCATGGCTTAGCAAAAAGAGGGGGAAAGGGATCAAAGCAATTAGATGACTGCACAATCATTTTGATCCCTTTCCCCGTTATACAGCCACAGGATTATACAGCCACAGGATTACTTTGATCCTTCCCCACTCCTTTTGCTAAACCCCATGGGACTTAGCAAGCAGAGGGGAAAGCAGGGATCAAAGCAATCCCGCAGCACTTTGATCCCTGATTTCCTTTTGCTAAGGTTTAGCAAGTGGAGGGGAAAGCAGGGATCAAAATCCTACAGGATCACTTTGATCCCTTGCTTTACCCTCCACTTGTTTTTTCCTCCTCAGCTTACTTCTATATTTTTAATCTAAAGATTTTAGACAAAAGTATAGTCTTATACACAGAAAAATACAGTAACTTGGTCCATTACTATGTTGCAACCATTATTTATTATTTATGTTGGAGTTATTTCAACTTTGTATGCTGTTTTATTAGCTTTGGTTGGGACGGGCCTTTCTGAGCTGGAGTGACTGTCAATCAGTCCAGCAGTAACCAATTGTTCCTTCCCTGCCTGATTCTAAGAGCCACGCCTCTCTGCTTAAGTGTCTTTTCCTCCTCTCTTTTAGACTGCTGGCAGTTAGTGTACAGTTAGAATGTAGTTGGCAGTGGTTTACTGCAAGCAGGCTGTGAGTTTGTTGATGCCTGTTGCTCTAAGCCATAGGTTGGGGAACAGGGGTAATTACCCCAAACTGGGTAAAAGTGAAAATCCTGGGGGTAATGAGCAGAGTGCTAGAGGAACTAGAGACGAAATTGCTAACATGCGCTGGATTATGGAGAAAGCCAGAGAGTTCCAGAAAAATATCTACTTCTGCTTCATTGACTACGCAAAAGCATGGCAGAAAGTGAGGAGGAATTAAAGAACCTCTTAATGAGGGTGAAAGAGGAGAGTGCAAAAAACGGTCTGAAGCTCAATATCAAAAAAACTAAGATCATGGCCACTGGCCCCATCATATCCTGGCAAACAGAAGGGGAAGATATGGAGGCAGTGACAGATTTTACTTTCTTGGGCTCCATGATCACTGCAGACAGTGACAGCAGCCACAAAATTAAAAGACACCTGCTTCTTGGGAGGAAAGTGATGACAAACCTCGACACCCTCTTAAAAAGCAGAGACATCACCTTGCCAACAAAAGTCTGCATAGTCAAAGCTATGGTTTTTCCTGTAGTGGTGTATGGAAGTGAGAGCTGGACCATAAAGAAAGCTGACCACCAAAGAATTGATGCTTTTGAATTGTGGTGCTGGAGGAGGCTCTTGAGAGTTCCCTGGACTGGAAGCAGAAAAAAAAACTATCCATTTTGAAGGAAATCAATCCTGAGAGCTCACTGGAAGGACAGATCCTGAAGCTGAAGCTCCAATACTTTGGCCATCTCATGAGAAGAGAAGACTCCCTGGAAAAGACCCTGATGTTAGGAAAGCGTGAAGGCAAGAGGAGAAGGGGACGACAGAGGATGAGATGGTTGGACAGTGTCACCGAAGCTACCAACATGAATTTGACCCAACTTCGGGAGGCAGTGGAAGACAGGAGGGCCTGTCATGCTCTGGTCCATGGGGTAACGAAGAGTCAGACATGACTAAAGAACAACAATATGAATATTGCTTAACTATGGACTACGCAAAGTACATGTAATTGGATAGTATTA